ATATAATGACAGACAATTAATTTTCAACAAGGATGCCAAGACTATTCAATGGGGAAATATTAGTCTCTTTAATAATGGTGAGACAACCAGGTATTAACATACAAAGAATGAAGTTGCACTCTTACCTCAAACCAGAGTCAAATGAACTCATGATCTATCAAAGACCTAAATATAACAGCAAAAACTATAAAACTTTTATAAAGAAAACTCAGGGGTCAATCTTCATGGCCTTGAATTTGTACATGGTTTCAGAGTTGTAACACCAAAAAGCACAAGCAACAATACATGAAACAGATCCAGAAAAGACTTTACCAGTATTTAAAACTTTTGATACCAAAGGACATGATCAAGAAAGTGAAAAGTTAATTCACAGAGTGGGAGAGAGTATTTGCAAATCATATATTTCTCAAAGATTCAGTATCCAGAATACATAAAAGAACTCTTAAAATAGCCACAACAACAGAAATCCAACTTAAAAATGACATTTTGCTAAAGAAGGTATACAAATGGCCAAACAAATACATCATTAGTCAGCAGGGGATGAAAACTGAATCACAATGAGATACCACTTCAAACCCACTACAGTAAGAAGAAATAAATACATATGCATAAAATACATTTTAAAATATATTTTTTAAAAAAAGAAAGTAGCAAAGGTTGAAACTAGAATCCTCATATATTCCTAATGGAAATGTAAAATGGTTCAGCCATTGTGGAAAACAACCTGGCGGTTCCTCAAAAAGTCAAACAGAATGATCACATCACCTAACAATTCCACTCATAAGTACATATCCAAAATAACTGCAAACAATAACTTGCACACAAGTTTTCATACTAGTACTATTCAAGAGTATTTCTCCAAAAGAGGTAAACAACCCAAAATGTCCATCAACTAAGGAACGAAAAAACGGATGTGGTATAGCTATGCAACATAGTATCATTCAGCTGCAAAAAGGAATAAAGTACTGACACATGATACAAGTTGATGAGCCTTGGAAACTTTATCCTAATTGAGAGAAGTCAGATACCAAAGGCCATTAAATTATACGGTTTCCATTAACAGCAAATATCAAGAACAGACAAACCCATGGAAGTAAGATAGTAAAGCACTGATTGTCTGAGGATGAAAGGATACAGGGAGAAACTGCTTATGTCTACAAGCTTCATTTTGAGGTGATGAAATAGAACCAGATAGTGGTGAGGGCTGCACAACACTGTGAATGTACTAAATGCCCCTGAACTGTGTATTTAAAAAATTCTTAAAAGGAAGAACTTAGTTATGTAAATTTTACCTCATTAAAAAATAATAGTAAATTAAAAAGAACATACAGCCCTCTGCATTCCTCCCTCCTTCCTACACCTTCTCTGAGGCGGTGATCCAGTATGTCTGGGGCTGAGCTTTTAGCCAAGATAGCCAGCAGACTAGCTACTAACTGTGAAGTTTTTCACTTGTGACTTAAGTGAAAAGGAGAAGGCCAAAGTAAACTCTGTAGTGTTTGTACAGAATTAGAGGTATCAGTATCATCTCATGGTTTTACATGTGTGTATATGTACATGTATACATAAATATCCATAATATGTTGAAAGCCAGGAGATATGTGCCATGTGACATATATACATATAGTTCATAGTTTTGTCTGCTGTGAGACTCTGAAAGCAATGATCCTTGGTACCAATGAGTACACTTAGCATCCACAATTGTATTTCTAAATACCATTTTATACTTAAAAGAAGTCAGGGTCCTTAGAAGAAATGGCTAGTGTCAGGACTAGGGTATGGAAAACAGAAAACCAGCATGGAACATTTTCTGTACCAAACTGTATACCAAATGTAAAGAATAATGAAAGAAAAACGGGGACATGTCAAGTACACTAAGAAGGCATCGGCTCTAGGGGCTCCTATTGTCCAAATCAAGATATAACTGAAAAGGTAAGAGAGATCCACTCCCTTGGGTTATTATTTCACTCTTTCTCCTTTCTCCTTCAAGATTCCAACAACCTTCCCTGTACTCTAACTTTCTAACAAACATGCATCTTATTTCACCGTGAAGTAGAAATAACTCTAAGTGAACTTTCACAACGTCCCACCATCAAATCTAACCAAGAGATTTGTATTTACATATACATTTGGCTTTGCCTCATGATATTATTGGTCTGTGTCTAACACAGGCCGATCTCCACTAGGATACCCAACTCTATCCTTTCTTCACAACTCAAGGACTCTGCTCCTGCAGTTTATAACCCCTCTCACATGACTGATTTTCTACTTTCCAAGTAATTAATCACAACAACAAGCAAACATGCTTCACTTTCTCTTGTAAATAAAGTACCCTTTCTTGATGGAGGAAAAAATATGTCTAGTATACCATTTCTTTAAAAAAAATACTACTTATTTTAAAATACTTTAAGACTCCCGAGAAATTACAGAAATAGTACAGTATATATTGTAGCCTTTACTCAGATTTACCCAATGATAACAGCGTAAATAACCATAGTTAAAACCAAGAATCTGACACTGGTACTTATATTTATTTTTTTTCAAAAAAGGATAAACCATAACATTTCTTTTCAAAAAATACCTTTAAGAAGAGGGAGGAAATACAGTGGAGAGGGTAGAAACAAAAGCTAGACTTCTTTTAGATACCTTATTTTGTAGACTTGACTTTGGAGCTATATAAATATTTCATATAATTATAAAACTAAATTAAAATAAGCAATCCCTGAAAATCAAAATTAAATTCTACAAGTTAACCTAAGTATGCATCCACTTGATATAATGATATAGAGTGTACCAATTTCAAGTGATATCAAAATAGTTATTTGATTGCTTCTCTCCTAGGGTATACTCAACAGGCAAAAAACCCAGAAAATACTTAAAACAAAACAGAACTACAGTTGACCCTTGAACATCTCAGGGGTTAGGAACGCTGATCCCCTGTGCAGTCAAAAACTTGAGTATAATCTTCTAGTTGGTCTTCTATCTGCAGATTCAACCAACTGAGGATAGTGTAGAATCACAGTATATATTTGTTGAAAAGAATGTGCATATAAGTGAAAATACACAGTTCAAATCTCTATTGTTCAAGGGTCAACTGTATTTTCAGTCATCATCATATTGGTTGAAAGGCTGATATTGTTAGGCAGTAATGTACAAGTCTAGAACATTTCATCATACCAAGTACACCAGGGAGCAAGGAAATTACTTAAAAGAGTATTAGTGCTGAGACACTCAGTCGTGTCTGACTCTCTGTGACCTCATGGACTGCAGCAGACCACCAGACTTCTCTGTCCATGGGATTATTGCAGGAAGAATACTGGAGTGGAGTGTCATTCACTCCAGGGGATCTTCCCAACCTAGGGACTGAACCCATGTCTCTTACGTCTCCTACATCGGCACGAGAATTCTTTACCCCTAGTACCACCTGGGAAGCTTGAGTATTATTATCTGGGAAGCAGAGTATAAAGACTGTATCAAAAGGACTCAGGTGCCAAGGTGAAGAGCCCTCCTGACAAAAACGGGATAATATCAGTAAAGATAATAACTGCAATGGATTGAAGGGCTTCCCTAGTGGCTCGGCAGGAAAGAATCCACCAGAGATGCAAGAGACGTAGGTTTGATCCCTGGGCTGGGAAGATCTCCTGGAGTAGGGCATGGCAACCCACTCCAGTATTCTCGTTGGAATAATCCCACAGACAGAGAAGCCTGTTGGGCAATGGTCTGTGGAGTTGCAAAGAGTTGGACACAACTGAAGCGACTGAGCACAGCATACAGCAACGGATTGAAAAACATCAAATATGTTTAACCCATGAATATACAAGAATATCTGAAAACAAAATCAAAAGATGAATTGTCACCCCTGGAGTATGCTAATGAACAGATTCATTCTTTTGAAAAATAAGAACTACAGAGAGAGAATGTAAAAGATCCCATATGAACTGTATTACTAAGGATCAAATAGTAGATGAGGAAATTTCCTTAAAAGTATTTAAGCTACAAAAATGAAAAAGAAATGTCAGAATTAAGAGTAGCATCATTTTGCAACCCCTAATACATTAACTAGTCTAGGCACTGATCATAATGACTGCTAACGTCACAAAGGACAGTCTCCTGGAAGAAATGACTAAATAATACATCAAGGCTTTTAGAACAAATAGTACATAATTTAAATTTCTTTCAACTCAAGAGTTCTACAAACTGAACCACCCATTTCACTTAGTTTCTAAATTAGGGGCCAGCAAACTTTTTCTGTAAAGGGGCAGATAGTAAATATTTTAGGTCTGTTGGCCACAGGGGCTCTGTCATAACTACTCAACTCTGCCTCTGCCAGTTTTAGCTAGAAAGTGGAGGGCTGCTCAGTGGTAAAGAATCTACCTACCAATGCAGGAGATATAGGAGACGTGGGTTTGATCCCTGGGTTGGGAAGATTCCCTAGAAAAGGGAAATGGTAATCCACTCCAGTATTCCTGCCTGGAAAAACCCATGCACAGAGGAGCCTGGTGGGCTCCAGTCCATTGGGCTGCACAGAGTTGGACATGACTTAGTGACTGAGCATGCACACATAGCAATGGAAAATAGGTAAATGAGTATGTGATGGGAAGAACTCAGATCATGAAATGTAGTTTGCTGCATAGTTATCTCTGCCCTATATGATACAGGAGAGAAATCGATGACCCCTAATGATAAATTAATTCTCCCCAGAATGAAAGTTAATCTGGTAGCTATTCAATCCTCAAATCTAACTCATCAAAACAGTCAACATCATTTTTCAGGCTGACCATTCCTTAATTAATTTTGCTAATTTGAAATGTGTGATAAGCATAATCTGTTTTGATGACTGTAAGTCCAGAAGTTTATGATTTTTAAAATTGTGATAAAACAGACTTGTGAATGTTAGGAAGCTAGTGATAACTCCTATTTATTACTGAGTTAAGCTGAAATATATATAGGGGTGTGCGTGTGTATTTATTTACAAAAGTAATTCAGATGTTTGGACTTTTTACCTTATCAGAAAACCAAATGAGTCTGGAATCTTCGTAATACCTAAACATGCCATATTTAGGATCCAATAATTCCCTCATGATAAGCAAGAAAAATTCCTTGCGTACCCCTCCTGCATCAACAGCATCTTCTCCAACAAATATAACCTAAAAGAGGATAATGCAAACACTGAGTGTAAAGAAATGAAAGTATACTCTGGAGACTCTATAACACATTATTTATTATGAATAAATGTTCATCAATTAATAACTATAATTTTGTTTAAGTATATTTTTATTAAGATTCAAAGATACTAAAAATAAACAGGAAAACTTTAAACATATTTTCTGAATAAAGTTCAAATTATATAACAGAAAATGTTAAATTACCTTGAGTGGCTTTTTGTAGTCTATATTTTTTGTTTTCCTAAGGACTTCCATTGCATCTCCTACAATATTTTCCCTACGTACCACCAGAATTAAGCAAGGGTTCACAGATTCAATCACTGGGAGAAAAAGAGAGGAGACATTCTGTCTGTGGGCCTGGTCAATAGCCATCTAGAAAACAAAAGATTAAAAATTCAGTAACAATGCTATGAAGAAGCTACTATGACTGGATAAGCTAACCTCTACTTATTTATAGATATCTACAGCCCATAGGATTGTGAAGAGTTGGACACAACTCAGCAACTGAACAATAAAAACAAATTCCTGTATTACTGAATTCACTTAGCACCTAACAGTATTTAGCACAGCATCAGAGCTTAATAAACTATATTCTTCTGAGAAATAAAGTGTCCTTTTGAAATTTTTATAGTAATGTATAATTGATGATACCATTAAATAAGCATGGAACTATAATGATAAATCTGAATACTGTTGTCTCTCAAAAAATAACTAGGATAGATAGTGTGGAGAAAAAGAAAATAGCATTAAAACATACCTTTCCATAGAGTAAGAAACAGCCTGGTCAACTAAAAGGTTTATAGGAAGTCATCTAATAGATTGATCACCATGTTGTTATTAGTCACTAAATTATGTCTGACTCTTCTGCAACCCCATGGACTACAGCCCACCCGGTTCCTCTGTGCATGGGATTCCCCAGGCAAGCTTACTGCAGTGGGTTGCCATTTCCTCTTCTAAGGCATCTTCCTGACCCAGGGCCCTGCGTAGCAGGTGGATTCTTTACTGCTGAGTCACAGGGAAGCGCAAAGTGATCACCTTTTGTACTCACACTCCAAACACTTGGCTTTTACCATTTAAGGCTCTTTTTTTCCCTGTGATTTTCTATGTGTTCTTGCTCTAAAATGAAATATCCTACATTGAAAGCACCAAGTAATTGTTTTAACAAAGACTGCTAAAAAAAATCAGCAATCCAATTGTTAGTATAGAACCTTGCAAAAATACTTATTTCTTCCATTGATGAAAACAGAAATAAGTGCAGCTCTAAAATTCCTCCTTGTATTACTTATTGTTTAAAAATACAGAAGAATTTAGAATATCAAATGCATTTATTTTAAAGGAATAGAAACGGCTAACAAAACTGGGACAGGAGTTATTTTTAAAAGCATTTTTAGAATATTAAGTACCCAAGGTCTCATCTCATCCTTTCTTAGTCCTCAGCCTCTATAGTCTGATATTCTATATCAGAGGAAAAAACTAAAACCTTTTTAATTTACAGGTTCAAAAGGTAAAGTAAACTTGTTGTATTCCTTCATATTCACAATGTCAACTAGTTTTTAAAATTCTCATTATAAAGGAAAAAATACTCAACATAAGTGGGGGGAGGAAAAGAGCAAAGAAGAGGAGACAACCAACCTCAAGAAAACACCTTATTATTACTAAAACATTCTTCACAGAAATTTCATACCCTCCTCCCAACGTGTGATCAAATGCCTCCTACTTTAACATCATTTCATCTCTACTCACTTTCATCTTCTACTAAGTACATAAGTAGGGAATATATAATACAGCAAGATTTTAAACAAACCAATAGTTTATTAAGAAAACAAATCAAACTGTTTATAAAGGCTACATATTTCTGTATGAAAAATTATACCATTTTAAGATATAAAATGATAAAAATCTAAATTCTATTTCCTTATATCCTATATATATTATTCTATTTCCTTTTACATATATTTAAGTATCCCTTATAAGAACGCACAATTTACATCCAACAGTCTTATAGGTACTAAAGATACCTTGGTAAAAGTACCTTTGCAAAAGACAGACTACAAAGGTACAAAGTAACCCCAAAGACATTTCAAATATTTAAGAAAACACCTCAGAAACAATTCAAAAACTACTCTCAAGTTAAACTAGTACTATACAACATTTTACCTGCATCTGTAAGACTGCATCTGTTTGTAACAGAGTAGTTTTTGCTTGGGCATCAAATACAAATGGATATGTGCAGATTGTAACAGGGATATCTGCCAACTGGAAATAAAAAATTAGCTTATTAGTACAAACTGGTTTGTGACGTATTTCTTGTAGGTACTGTCATTTCTTATGTAAAGTTGATCATATTCTTGGTTTACTTGCTTTGGGTCATTCAGGAATTATACTGAAAATTACATGAAGCACTGGAATAAAGAACCCTAATTCCCAATTTGGGGAGAGAACTGTATACTTAGGAACCCATAAAATTGTAAATTACAGATATCTTTTGCTTAACCTATATTAAACTTGAAGTTTCAGTGAACTAGATTGGAAATTTATTCTAAATTTGGGGATCCTCTGTTAAATACAGTACCCAGTTCTTATATGTTAGGGCTACTCTAGCAACTGAGGCCAATGATAAGCAATCTACTTATTCATTCAACAGATATTTACTGCATGCCGTAGGGTGCCAACATTATTGTGAGCCCCAAAATTTGTTCATTCAACATACAAAATAAGCATGATTAGTACTATTATTTTCTGTCAACCTACAAGCTGATCAATAATAGTTGATCTTTTATTATCATTATCAGATATTAGTCACTTTATCGATAATTATTTATCCTAGCAGATGAAGTAGTGATTGACTGCCAAGTTTTTAATAGGCCAGAAAAATACAAAGAGCTATGAACTGCCAGTCACAGATCAGCTAGAGCATGTATTTCTACCGTGTATCCAACAAAGCAAAATTTTTGTGCTAGTTCTGACACAGAGCCCCTTCTTGTAAGGCTTCCAGTGAAGACTTAATATACCAAGAAGCAACTCTCTTCAAGTTCTTAGAAAGCTTTTTATGTTAAGTCTGAATCTGCATTTTTATATATCACTTTGTTTTGTATTTCAATCTTCATTCTGCCCCTACAGGGAAGTTTATGTGGTTTAGATACTTCATGCTGCCATGTTCTCCCTAAGTTGTCTTTTTTCCACACTAAACATGCCCAGTCTTTCCAACCATCCTGAAAAATATGGTTTCCAACTCTACTTCATCCCATTCCAACTTCATCCCAACCACCATCTTTTAAATATATTTCAATCTGTCCAGGCCTCTTTTAACTATGGCCATCAAAAACAATGAAATAATTCAATAACGCCCTATCCATATAGGACACAAGATTATCAATTTGTTGTTCTCAACATGTAAGACAATATGCTGAGTTATATTAATCCTTAAGTAAGTTATCATTCTTGGCTATTTTTCATATGACAATTTTACCCTCCGCCCTGTATTTGTGTCACTAACCAGCTATTGATAACTTTTCTAGTCTTTTTACTACTCTGAAACTAGAAGACTGAGACAATTTCTAAAGTCGTCGTCAGCCCCAGAACTCTTTGATTTCATAATTTTATATGTTGCTTTTATTTGAGGGTGAGGAAGCAAACCATGTTGGGCCTATAATTTAAAGCTAATTCTAAATATGTCATGGATTCAAGTGCTGGGAAAAAAAGCAAAGTAAACAATAAAACCTAATGTATTCTGTAACAGAAGTATAATACAAAATTCCCAAGTGTTAAAAAAAGGTGGTTCAGGATTGATGATTATGTAAGCCAAAATGCTAGAACTTTGAAAGTTTATTCAATTTTATGACCATGTTGAATTTCAATTATTAGTTTAAAAACTGAAGATAATTCTACTTCTCCAACATAAAATATTTTCTGCCCTCTGGGTAGGCACTCGTTAAATTTTACAAGTTTGCTTTTTTTTGTATTCTGAGGACACTATAAATTTTATTCTGAAAGACTTTAAAAGGATAGGAAATATTTTAAAACAAACATTGTTAAAAGGCATCATATAGGTGTAATGTTAACTAAAGAAAAAAGGGTCTAATTTTATTCAGAAAATTCCTCTGAAATGTTATATAGGGCAAGTTCTATATACTCATTCATATATATATATATATATAAATAAAATATATATATGTTTTACAGTCACAAAAAAGAGGAAGCTTGGGATCTCCAATCACTTAAGACAACACAGAGTATATCTTACTCTGAACAGGAGACTTTATTACACCAAACTTACCTCAGTTAATCCATGGTTGACATCCTAAGACGGCAGTGCAGAATGTAACAGTAATGAGGAAAGAGCAATGTTAGTGTCCAAATTTAACCATTTCTATTCAAAGTAGCATTTCATTTATTCTGCTACAGTAGAATACTGAATTAATGAAGTAGACCAAAATATATCTACAACAAAACTTACCCTTTCTACATATACCTTATATATCTATATTAAGTGTAGTAAGAGCTTTCTTTCAGATATCTTGTGGTCAGAAAATCATTGAGGCTTGAACATAATGAAATTTGGTTTCAGCAAGTAACTACGTCATTTGCAGAATTTAAGCAGAACAGAAAAACTACTCTTACAACTAATTTGGTCTTGAAATAATTTTATGGCCCAATTTCTCCACTTGGAAAATGGGAGAAAATATTCCTCAAAGACTTGGTTAATCTTGACAAAATGTTTAAAAAGTGTTTAGTAGATTAAAGAGCTACATGGAGAAAATAAGCCATAAGTTGTTGTTATTCATCAGAAATAACCAGTGAAATGCAGGTATCTAAATACTAAGGATTCTTTAACATTAAATTAGCTTAAAATAGGAAGTACAAGACAGGGCATAGGTGTTGTTAAGTAGAAACAAGAAATGAAGAGAGAGATATTCATGAAGGACATAATAACGAAAATTACAATGAAAGCTTACCACTGCATTGAAGAGAAATGTACAACACTTTCTTGAAAAAAGTTTTCACGTATGTTTAGAGTGTAGACTCAAATAAAGTGTTAAAATCTCCAAAAGTATGTTACTAAATTTGCAGATGGTACCTTGTATAGTGAGGAGTTAATCTTACCCAAAGAGATCATCTCCCAGTAGTGATTTTGCCCTGGAAGACAATCTATAGGGCTTTGGAATTTCATACCTCAACAGGAATATCATTGTTTGCCTGGAGACTCTGGGATATGAGGTTACCAGTTCTTACTACAAAAGGGTTGGCAAGGCCGGCCATATAGGCAGTATGTGATGGAGCCTCAGTAAAAACTCTGGGCACCAAGGCTCTAGTGAGCTGCCTTGGTTGGCAATACTCTGTGAGTATTGACACAAACAGATGTTAAGAAAGTAACTTGTCCATGACTCCTCAGGGAGAGGAAGACAAAAGTTCAGTCTTTGGTACCTTTCCCAGACTCTACCCTACGCACTTTTCCCCTTGGCTGATTTTAATCTGAATTCTTTCCTTATAATAAACTGTAAATGTCAATGTAATACTTTCCAATTAGTTCTGTGAAGTTTTGTAGCAAATTATTGAACCTGAGAATGGTTCCAGGAATCTTCCAACCTCGCAATTGGTATCAGAAGTGAGGGCAGTCTTTGTGAATTGTTCTAACTCTGCAGGTGGCTAGATTCTTGCATATGCCTCAAGGGGTATCATTGGAAACTTTAATATATTAGCAAACATTTACAGTTTATTCACTTAATTGTGCCAAATAAAGCCAAGACAATATAAGCATAAGTAAGTATGACTTTAACTTCCTATTCTGAGAAAGAGAAATATTTACAATCGTTTAATTAAAAAATACATGTAAATCCATGGCTAATTCATTTCAATGTATGACAAAAACTACTGTAATGATGTAAAGTAATTAGCCTACAACTAATAAAAATAAATGGGAAAAAAATGGGAAAAAATATTTGCAAATTATAAAAAAAAAAAAACTCTGAGTACCAAATTATCACTACATACGCATCCCAATGGCAGTGCTAGCAATACATTATAGAAGCTGTCCTGCAGAAAAAGCCATTTAGATTACACTCAGTTTAATTTAAAGCAACTTAACAGGAACACCTGAAATACTTGTATAGTACTAAACATATCCTGTGGGATGTTTTTAAAGTCCTACTACAACTAAGAAAGTGTGAGTAAGAAACCTTTCAACATTTTTCTGACTACCTATGGCCAATTTGATAACTATGTTTCATACCTGGTATCATGGAAGATGGATTTTACTATTAATAATGAAACACTAACCTATATGTACTTTGTTGCTACATGTAAATAGAGAAAGATTCTAGGCATATGATTTTGCATTGGGAAGACTGTCAGAATTTACAGTGCAACTAAACCATAAGTCTGATTGTAGAGAGAGATGTAAGCTAGAAGAAATATGAAAAAATAACGGGACGTGGATAACTTGGGAAAAGAAGAGAGATTACAAGATACCAAGCAAAATGATTTACCTAGGGAAGAAGCATCAAAGGAAAAACCAGATTAAGATCATCATTAGAAATTGCAATTTAAGTATTAAGAAACCTAAGACAAAAGCTTAAACATTGAAAACAAAGTAAACAGGTAAAAAAGCAAGGGTAAACTCCTCTGGGAAATATCATATTAGTTTCAAGTCTAACTGAGCCACAGTAGCATTTCCAAGGGAAATTTAAAAGAAAAAGTAAGTGGTAGTGGCGGGGTGGGGCAGGGGGGCAGTATGGGGATAAGATACTAGCAAAATACGTGTGGTCAACTAAAGGTCCATTGCTGAAAATTCACTGTATCATTTAACCCGCAGTCTACTCTTGGCTCCAAATCCACTTTCCCAAGCACTATCTTTTGGCTGTTTGTAGACTGGGGCCCATGAAATTAGGTCAAGGTACGCCTAATTTTATTTACCCAATGTCCTAGAAACCAGAGTGAGAAAGGCCAGAAAGAATGTTCAAAAGTCAGGGTCTCATTGTCTGAAGCAAACTTCACTAAGAGTGCTTTAAACATCAACAGTGAATGATAATTTGCTTAGTTTTAGACAAAAAAAGATGCAATCCCTTGGCACGTTTTAGTTTCAACATATTACTTATGACAAAACACTGTATCATTGCTGGTGACATCATTATTTAAGGGTGAAACACAGAATTACTCTAAGTATAAACAGAGGATACCGAAGTTACTGAAGTAATTCAAATAAATATTAAAGTGTTGGTGACTAGACAGAAATATAAAAGATACTCCTAAAACATGAAGAAAATGAAAAACATACAAATATAACTTGGTAATCCAAGGCACAAGGAATCAGTCCAAAAATCCACAAAATATTAATGCCATTAAAGATGACAAGGGGGCTTAAAAAGCAAGTGAGAACGTTCTGGGAAATATTACAGCTACGAGGTTTATAATGCAAGTATTAAATGTATCACAAATATTAAAGTATGCAAATGTACTTTTATTTCTTCATTTCATTAAATGAGGAAGAAGCTCAAACCCAGGAAGTACCAGCTGGTCTTCCCAGCTGTTACCATCAGTTTATCTTCCTGGTTTGCTGGTGAGCATGTCATGTCATTAGCTCAACATTGTCCACAGTTAAAGTATAAAACCTTAACTCCACAGAACAAATACAGTAATGACTTATAAACATGGCAAAATTAATACTGAAACAAAAGTTATGACTTAAAAATATATAAAGTATAATATCAAAGACTAAAAATTTCACCAATTTATCAAATGTATTTAATTAGTACTTACTTGTATCTGACATAGGCATACACAGTTCTTGAAATAAGTGAATATAAACTTTAAAAAATGCTTAATTTGATTCAATTATAACAGGCAAAGACTCAGCACAGACCTGTCTATACATTCATCGATTTTTGCTAGATATATATTGATATTGTATAGTAACAAAAAGGATAAGAAAGGGAAGAAAAAGCAGCAAAAATATTAGTTGTAACCACTAAAGTAATTTTGTCTTTTGACTATGCCTCACAGCTTGCGGGAACCTAGCTCCCTGATCAGGGATCGAACCCGGCCCTTGGCAGTGAGAACCAGAACTACTGGACCACTAGGGAATTCCTCACTAAAGTATTTTTAGAAAAAATTTTAGAGCAAAATTAAAAGAAGTAAGCAAATAAACTAAGAATAATATCTAGAAAGTGGGGGGGAAAAAATATCAAATAGTAGAAGATAAAGAGAAAACTCACATACCCTTGCCATGAAACTATTTACTGTAGAGGGAGAAAAACAGATAAAAAGCAAAAGGGATCCAACTGAAAAAAAGTTTCATATCCTAATATCAGAGTCTGCAAAAACAAAACAGAGAAGCTTATATAGGAATAGTAAGTGGCAGGAGTAGGAGGATCAAGCAAAAACTTCACGGAAACGTGTAGAGGGAAACAGATGAAAGAGGATGGGAAAATAGGAGAGGGTGAGGTGAAAAGTTAGTCTCAGCCATACAAAAGGACATTATAAGGGGTGCAAAAAATTCACAGAATTAGTTTTTAATGTTTAGAGACAAGGAAAGCATATACCTGATGAATTCTTAGAAGTATACACCTAATGGATTTTTTTTCCTTCTGGTTCTATTGAATTATAAATGACATATAGCTCTGTGTTTAAGGTTTATATACCTGATGGATTCTTAAATACTTGACTGGGAAAGAAAATCTGAGAAAAAAAAAATCTCAACAGACTATAGCATAAAGAGAAGTATACTAAAAGCAATATAATGAAGGTGAAATAACCTCCTTGCGGTGTTTAGAACGGGGTGAAGTCTCACAGACACATGTGCATATATTTTGTCTCCCTGGTGGCTGAGACGATAAGGAATCTGTTTGCAACGAACGAGACCTGGCTTCAATCTCTGGGTTGGGAATACCCCCTGGCGGAGGGCATGGCAACCGACTCCAGTGTTCTTGCCTGGAGAATCCCATGGACAGAGGAGCCTGGCGGGCTACAGCTCATGGGGCTGCAAGGAGTCAGACATGACTGAGCAACTCAGCACAGCACAGCACAGTGTATATATTTACATACATATGTAAAATACATGTTTATATAAATAAAATTTACAGACATTTTTTTATAATTCATAGTAACTATGTTCTATCAAGGAATATTTTAAACTTTCACACCAAAGGAATGGAATTATTTCAAGATCATAACTGTTATTCAATAATGTTATACATATGTATGTTGTATACATAAAGTACATATATATGTGTATATATCTGTTAGTTATATAAATACACATATACATATCTATATCATCACAAAATAACTTGGATCTTTAGGACA